AAGACAATTAACCAGTGGAATAGTTTGCCTTCAGAAATTGTGGGCGCTCCATCACTGGAGGTTTTTTAGAAGAAACTAGACCGCCACTTATCTGAAATAATAAAGGTTCTCCTGCTTGAGCAGGCGGCTAGACTAGGAGGTCGCTCCAAGGTCACTTCCAGGTCTATTCCTATTCCCGTTCCGTTCTATTCTATTCTGCCTCCATACCCTTTATCATCTTCTCTAAACAATTTCAAGGAAACACTGAGATTCGGGTTAATGTCAGCATTCCAGAAAAACCTCTGTTCCAATTAAAAACTCTGAGGCAAGCATTTTCTCAAAGTTCCATTTACTGGCACATCTTGGGAAAACCCGAATCTGAGAGTTCCGGGTTTTCCCTCAGTAAATCAAAAAACCCCAAAACCATCCCCTCACTCCTCAGTCGATCACATGCTCCAATCACCATCCGTTCCATCTCGAGACAGCACTCCAACCACTCCTTCTCCAGATGCAGTGCTCATCCTGACCTTGACCGACGGGAAGAATGCTATTTTGTCTAAATACAAAACTCTCAAATAAATCCCACCCTCCTACTTTCCCACACATGAGAAGGTGGCAGCTTGGAAGCTTCCGGCCTAATATGGTTTCCCAAGCTGACATCAGCATCATGGTGATTAGAGCTGTACGCAGTATTTCAGGTATGGACTCATTAGTGTGGTTATTTATTTATTTAGCGTATGGCTGGTCACACACAGCATTAAAACACTTCATTTTTACAGATTAAAAACAATTAAAACAATAAAAAAGCAGTAAGAAAACCTAAAAGGAAAACAGAAATAACATTTCAAAGTTTAATGTCGAGTTTGGAGATCCAGTCAGTAGCTGCCGTCGTTATGCAGAGGAAGTCCCTAGAATCTCCTGGATACCTTCTGTTAGGGCATTCCCTCACTATGTGCTGGATAGTCTGTTGAGGGGCCCCGCAATCACATTGTGCTGAAGGTGTCTTTCCCCATTTATACAGGGAGTCAGAACACACCCCATGAGTTGTTCTAATTCTATTATATGTCACCCATATGTGTCGGGGTAGGCTAAATCCTGGAGGTATACTACTAGGACTGATATGCTCGGAGACATCTTGGGGGGAACAGCTATTCCACGCCTCCATCCACTTTTGTGTGGTGTTCTGATGATCGGCCATCAACTTACGCGCTGTCAAGATTGGTGGATTTCTTGACTTTAATCGGCATCTTAAGAGATCAGGAATGTATCCATGTATGGGTAGAGAGGAATTTAACAGGATCTTACTATACTCCCAAATGAGAGCTTCTTGTCGTCGTAAGTGCGGGGGGAGTATGCGACTAAGAACTGGTAACCAGTAACTAGGTGTAGATTTTGTGCACCCAGTAATTAGCCTCATCGTATGGTTAAGTTGAACATCAATAAGACCTGTATGTGAGCTGTTTATCCATACAGGTGCACAGTATTCCGCTGCAGAGTAGCAAAGCCCGACGGCTGCACATCGGAGAGTTGGGGCTGAAGCTCCCCAAGTTGTTCCGCATAGTTTTGTAGGATGTTATTTCTGCTGTTAACCTTGGCAGCCATATTCTGGATGTGTTTCTTAAAGGACAGGGTCCTGTCTAAGATGACCACCAAGTATTTTGGTGTTGCCTCGTATGGGAGCAGTTTGTTATTTAGGTATACATTGAGTTCTCTTTTTGCCAATTTGTTGTTGAGTGAAAACATGATGTAACTGTTTTACTTACACTTGGGATTAACCTCCATTGGTGGAAGTATGTGCTCAAAGTTGTAAGGTCGGCTGTAAGTACGCCTTCTGTAGCTTCGATGTCCTTGTTGCTAAATGTTCTTGTGGGAGGCAAAGTTACTCGCGTCCTTGGCAATCCTTAAGTCACACGTGCCTCCTGGGTGGTGCTAAATGAGTAACAGACGGACTGGTAGCCAGACATCCGCGAGGATCTCCTGGCTTTACACACAACCCCACGGTCCTTTTAAGGACCTTTTAAGTTCCAAAAAACTAGCAGAAACAGCAGAAATTAGTGTGGTATGAAGTGGTATTATCACGTCTTGATGCTATCTTTCTATGGATGCAGCCTAGGCATACATGGACTTTTTTGGCAGCTGTAGCACATGGCTGGCTCATGCTTAACTGGTGATCTGGTAGGACACCTAGCTCTCTTTCGCACACAATTATTAATGTTGAGTCAGGTACTGCTTATTCTGTACTCTACATTGTTTTTTCCGGCCTAAGTACAGGACCTTCCTTTCCTCATCACTGAACTGCATCTTGTTAGATACAGGGCCTAATGCTCAAGTCTTATCAAAATCCTTTTGAATCTTGAGTCTATCTTTAAAAAAGTTAGCAGTTCCCCCCTCCGCTTGGTGTCATCTGCAAATTTGTTGAGTTCCCCTTAAAACTATATTTTTTTCTTCTACTAGACTTTTTGTGTCTGAGATGATTGGACAATAATTGTGTAGGCATCACTGCTTCCTGTTGTCTGATGCCTATGATACTTCTTGTAAGAAATGTACAAAGAAAAGAAACAAAGAAAAGGCCACACTTGGAATATTGCATTCAGTTTTGGTCGCCACGATGTAAAAGAGATGTTGAGATTCTAGAAAGAGTGCAGAGAAGAGCAACAAAGATGATTAGGGGACTGGAGGCTAAAACATATGAACAGTTGCAGGAACTGGGAGGTCTAGTTTGATGAAGAGAAGGACTAGGGGAGACATGATAGCAGTGTTCCAATATCTCAGGGGTTGCCACAAAGAAGAGGGAGTCAAATTATTCTCCAAAGCACCTGAGGGTAAAACAAGAAGCAATGGGTGGAAACTAATCAAGGAGAGAAGCAATTTAGAACTAAGGAGAAATTTCCTGACAGTTAGAACAATTAATAAGTGAAACAACTTGCCTGCAGAAATTGTGAATGCCCCCCCAACACTGGAAGTTTTTAAGAAGATGTTGGATAACCATTTGTCTGAAGTGATGCAGGGTTTCCTGCCTAAACAGGGGGTTGGACTAGAAGACTTCCAAAGTCCCTTCCAACTCTGTTATTCTATTCTATTCTATTCTATTCTATTCTATTCTATTCTATTCTATTCTATTCTATTCTATTCTATTCTATTCTATTCTATTCTATTCTAAATGTCCTCTACTGATTGTCCTCTACTCCACTCAGCTTATTGTTTCCCCCATTAAGGGCTTGCATCAGCCTTTCCTACTTTCTTAAATATAATAAATCAATAAACATGCATCTGAAGATAGGTAGTCCTTGACTTACAACAGTTCATTTAGCGATCATTTGAAGTTTCAACGGCACTGAAAAAAAGAGATTTATGTCCATTTTACATGCTTACGACCGACACAGCATCCCCATGGTCACATGATTTACATTGGATGCTTGACAACTGCTTCATGTGATGGTTGCAGTGTCCCAGGTTCATGTGATCACCTTCTGACAAGCAAAGTCAATGGGGAAGCCAGATTCACTTAACAACCATGTTACTAACTTAACAATGGCAATGATTCACTTAACAAATCTGGCAAGAAAAGTCATAAAATGGGATGTAAAAATTAACAAATTTCTGACTTAGCGACATAAAGTTTGGGCTCTATTGTTGTTGTAAGTCGAGGACTACCTGTGAGCAGCCTATTCAACACAGTCCATTCAAAATGTTATTTTTACTTCCATATCCTTTATAAAACTGAACTGTTAGATGTCCATTGCATCAAGACTCCTTGTGCTGAATTGAGTCCAAGGCCGTAAAGCACTAATGCTAACGTAGTTGAGAGGTAGAGAGGCGATGATCTATAAAAGCATAGGTGATCCAGTTCTGTGTATGTATAAGGTAAAGATAAAGGTTCCCCTCGCACATATATGTGCTAGTCATTCGTGACTCTAGGGGGCAGTGCTCATCTCTTCAAAGCCAAAGAGCCAGTGCTGTCCGAAGACATCTCCGTGGTCATGTGGCTGGCATGACTAAACACCAAAGGCATACGGAATGCTGTTACCTTCCCATCAAAGGTGGTCCCTATTTTTCTACTTGCATTTTTTATGTGCTTTCAAACTGCTAGGTTGGTAGAAGCTGGGACAAGTAACGGGAGCTCACCCCATTACGCGGCACTAGGGACTCGAACTGCTAAACTGTTGACCTTTCAGTCAACATGTATACTTCTAAATAAATCATAGTGAATAATACTAATTTTTGCTTAAGTGAGCATGACAATTGTAGTTTTTCTGTAATTCATTACCATTTTCATGGCTTCCTCCTTTATTTAAAGAGTGACGAGGAATTCTATGGTCTGACTGAAACAATAAAGGCATTGCAACTGCTAGTATATCTACTACTTCATTCTATGTTGGAGGATTAGTTTTCATACACAGCCAGACTACCTATATGTTCCTGAGAAGCTCTGGCTTTTGGCTTGTGAAAGAGCTTTTGCCAAGCCCAAGGAAGGAAAAAAATTACCTGTAAGTAAATTGTGAGGGTGTCTCCCAAGTGAGTTTTTAAGGACCTTTTGTTAGGAAGGGGCATTATTGTGGGCTGGAAAATCTCTTGGAGAAATTCTTAAACCCTTAAATTAAGATTTGAATCTCTAAAACTTAAGTCCTTTAGTTTCAAGCAGAGAACATGTTTTTGAAAACAGGTTTCTCTCTGACTTTTCCAGTTGTTTCCTACTGTGTTTCCCTGAAAATAAGACCTCCCCCAAAAATAAGACCTCCCCCAAAAATAAGCCCTCCCTGAAAATATTTAACTGCAAGCGCAGCCTGTCCCAGCCATTTCCTCTGGTTAAGGCTAGGGAGACAGAGCTGGAAATCAGGTAAGATGACAAGAGGAGCCCCGTCTTGTCCACACGCCCCAAAATAAGACCTCCCCAAAAATAAGGCCAAGTGGAGTTCAAAAAAATGTAAAACAGGGTCTTATTTTCGGGGAAACACAGTATACTTAAGAAAATTTAGATATTTTTTTTTAAAAAAAATTGCATTTGTGTCCATGTTTTCTAGGTGTAGCAATGAAAGTGCTTGTTCAGAGTTTCGGAGGTTGGCTGATCCTCTTTTTCAGTTGTGTTTCCTTATGTGTAACCCTCCCAACCACTAGACGGGAGAAGCTACTTCAGAAGGAGGACCTCCGCCGTACAGGTGGCAACCTTATCCTAAGTCGGCAGGAAGAAACTTTCAACCGCAAGCTCATGCAACTGAAAGAAACAGAAATAAATAAAGCTATTGAAACTGGGGTATTTCCACCAGCTATGCATTTCTTCAAGGCTAAAGATATCATTGAAAAAAGTGCTGTGTTTGGCATCTTGAAAAAAATGCCCAAAGGTAAATCATTCCTGATTTCCTCAACATCTCCATGAATATCATGCTAAGTAGATAATTTGGTTGGTTAGATTGTTGATCGTGGACTAAAATAAACTATACAAAGTAAAGGAATGGCGACTGTTATAGAAAATCCGCTTCTTTCCAACTATAAAGCTTTTGCTTAAAAAAAAAGTCTTATCAAAATTAGTCGCAGAGTTTTAGTTTTTGTTTTAGAATTTTAGGTAAAATGATTTTCCAAGCTTGTTTGAGTGTTCCAGTTAAGGTACAAACCACGGACTCAAATGCTGAATGCTTTCTTTCGATATTTACATGATGTTAGTTTATTATGCAAAACAAAAAATAGAGAACTAATCTACTTCTCTGTGCCTAATTATATTCATTAGTGATAACAGCATAGTGATAAGTGACAATATTTGACAGTTACAGATTTCCTTTTTCCCCCCCTTTGTTTTTTGAACTGCCCACCATTTACAGCAATGAAGACTATTTATTTATTTATTTGGTGAATGGCATACATCAGGCCTGTCAAACTGGCGGCCTGCGGGCCGGATGCGTCACGCGCAGACCACACCCACCCCAACTCCACAAAGGCAAAAAACATCACGATATGTCATGTGACGCGATCGAATTTGACACCGTGTGGCATACATGGATTAGCAATATAAATAATATTCCCACATCTTTTCCTGGGCTTGTAATTGACCCCTTTTACTGCTTCTTTTGCTTTCATTCTTTATCAGTTCATAGGAATTAAATACTGTTACTTTTTGATGGCTGACTGTAGCTGATCTGCATCTTTAGAAGGCTTATGAGGAGCTTGCTTCCAACAAGTTAAGGGAACCAGGTTCACTTAACAACTGCAACAGGGTGGGTTCTACTTACCTTTACTACTGGTTCGCAGTGGGGCCACGTGCGCGCTCTCCTGCGCATGCGCAGAAAAGTTCTAATGACATTGGGGTCGGTGGGTGGAGCCTCCCGCTGGTTTTACTACCGGTTCTATAGAACTGGTCCGAACCGGGGGCAACCCACCACTGAACTGCAGTGATTTGCTTAACAAAACTGTACCAAAAAAGGGTCACAAAATGGGGGCAAAACTCCCTTCACAACTGCCTCCCTTAGCAATGAAAATTTTGGGCTTAATTCTATTCGTCAGTCAAGGACTACCTATAATAGCTTCAAGGCTGGTCTTTGGGTCACTTTCTGGCTGCTCTAGCTCTCTTTTCTCTCTTCCACTGATACCTACTCTCTGGGACTTCAGCATTTCTCTTACATCTCCCTGTAATACAGGTAAGGGTCTTTGCTGAATTAAAATCCCAGGGGACAGTCCATAAGGATGGAACACAATGAATAAGGAAGCCTTTTCACTCCATGGCTTGGCCTTTCTATACAGCAGGATTTTATAAAGTTGGTTATCAGATGACGTATGCCTAAGATCCTCAAACATTTGGAAGAAATATTAATCCCAAATAATAAACCAATTAAAGAAAGATCCTGAGTCATTTTAGCATCTAAACTGGAACATTCTCTGTTAAACCAGACAATTTCCCCATTACTAGTTATTTCATTTAGACATCGGATTTGTTTAAGAACTATACTGTATATCAGGGGAGGGGCAACTATGGCAACTTTATGACTTGTGGACTTCAACTCCCAGAATTCCTGAGACAGCCTTGCTAGGAATTTTGAGAATTGAAATCCACAGGTTGCAACCTTGCCATCGTTGCCCACCCCTGCTACATATTCTCTGGGTGATTCACCGAACAAGTTCTAATTCACACCTTTGCTCCTGACAAACTGGCTTGAGAATTCTGGGAGTCAAAGTCCATATATCTTAAAGTTGCTAAGGTGGAGTCCAGAAATGCTATTTTGAAATAATGTTTATTTAATGGAATGGGCACACAGCCATCCATTTACCAAGATATTCTGTTTGGGAACAATAGTCTCAACAATAATTTTCTGCTCTGCTTTTCCTCATGCATGATCGTACTGATAAATCTGATACTGTGCAGATTTTGCATAGGAAGTATTTGTGTTATGACCACTGACCACTATTTTGTTTAAAATATTTACTTGGCTTTACTTTTTGTTAATTGTAGAATCACTAAACGTAAGATTCTGAGATAACTTTGCAGATCAAATAGTCCAACTTCTAGCCCAATGTAGTGATCTACTAATACAGCATCTCAATAGATGCTATCCAATTCCCAAAGCATTTTGCCAATTCCCAAAGCATTCAATTCCATTGAAAAATTTTACCCTGAAAAAATATCCAGGTTTGAGTTACCAGAACTTATGATAGTTCGTGGTAGTTTAAAAAAAGTTATTATCTTGCATTCTTGTCTCACGTTTGGAACATGATTGCTTTCATATACATTTTATCCACGCCTTTCATGAAATCTGTCTTCAGTAAACTTGTAGTGAGATCACAACATATAAAGAAACAAAGCAGGAAAATAAAGTCTTAAAGACAATAGCAATAGCAATAGCACTTAGATTTATATACCGCTTCACAGTGCTTTTACAGTCCTCTCTAAGCGGTTTAAACATTGTCCCCAACAATCTGGGTCCTCATTTTACCCACTTCGGAAGGATGGAAGGCTGAGTCAACCTTGAGCCAGGTGAGATTCGATCTGCCAAATTTCAGGCAGCTGTCAGTCAGCAGAAGTAGTCTGCAGTACTGCACTCTAACCACTGCACCACCACAGCGCAACACCATGAAAGCTGTTCCCGCACCATCATTTGTTCACTGCCTACAGTTAGATATGCAAATATTGCTAATTTTAAATAAATACAACCTTTGTTTGCTAAAGACGAAATCTTTTGGACAATGGTGCAATCTAAGCATTGTAGCCTTTGCACAGTGTTATTGGCTAGGGTTTATGTTCGCCATTTCAATCTAGTCTTGTACAGGGCCAATTTATCTTTAAGCAGTATTCCTCTTCCTAGCTTTTTACTGTTTGAGACAATTCATCTAGTTACTTAATAGGCTTCCTCACCCACACTGGTCAGATCGCTATATTGCACTGAGTATAGATAGCTTCTTTGTCTTGACAAAGCAATTCAATCCATCGTCTTGTTTTTCTTTGTCCACTTGCTTCTTCCTTGCCAACAGGTGGCCTTTTACATGTTCACGACTATGCTATCCTGAGTGCTGAGTGGCTGGTATACATTGCGACTTACTTGCCTAACTGTTACATCTGCTTCTGCCCGAGGGGGACTGTTCAATTCAAGTTTTCAAAGTCTCCTCCTACAAAAGTGTCTCCTTGCTCCAAGTGGACTTTACTCAAGAACTACCGCAAGTACCTGAGGGATATGTGTGGATTTGATAAGAGGTGGGTGAAAATATTTCAGATTGATTACAAGCATATTTACACTATTATGTTGCTTCTTCCTTCCCCAAGTTGCCTCTTCCAGATGTGCTGGGACTGCAACTCCCTGAATGTGTAACTAGTATGCGTCAATCTGAAATACAACAGATTGAAGAAAGCTGGTTTGGAGCACTATCTGCATAATTTTAAAGATGGAATACTTGTTCTGTATGTTTATTCCATCAGGGCCTCTTCTTTTAATCTAGAAGCCATCATAGTGCTTCAGTGGAGCAAACATTATGTTGAAGTTGTTTTAACCATAATACTTAACTTCTGTACAATATGTTCCCTAATTACTCAGGGTGCCTTACCTGATCTTTACTATGACCCTACAATAAAAAAAAATGTGGAGTTGAGTTGGCTGATAAGACCATATGTTAATCATCCATCTAAAACTTCTTAGTGAATTAATGAGTGAAGACAGAGAATTCAACCAGCACTTCTTTGTAAATATGTATTCTTGCGCCTCAAGCATGTACTTTACATGCAGAAGATTACAGGTTCAGATCTTGGTATCTCCATTATACCTATCTAAAACTCTGGGTAGTCATTGCCATTCAGGATCAATATTATTGGACTAGGTGAATTACTGTTCTGACTCACGATAGTGGTTTAGATGTACTAGTTCTTTATTTTTTCAATATAAGGAGTATTGTTCATAAAAGAGCTTCATTCAGGGCATGGAAGTAGATCTGTTTCAAAATTCAACCAGCATTCAAGTGATACCAATAGAGGAATCAAAGTCAAGGCTGCTGGGACAGATATGTTGTTTTAATTGCAGATACTAGAAAACCTAATAATGAAGAAGCAACCAAGCCCTTCATAATGTCTTATGTTTAATTACTATGTGAAAATGGATTTTTGGCTGTCTGTTTCTCAGCCTTGGTTGTGGAGGGCATCTGCATCATGTTTTGAAGATTGTCCTACCATGCCAGCTTCAGCCCTCACTCCAAGACCTACATGGTTATTGAATATTCTGGATTCTGCATTACTGTAGTCAAATTTCATTTCCAGTTCTGTGGCCAGATTGAATCATTTTATGATGATCATCTTATGATCATCTTATGATGATCTAAAGATTGATGGAACTGTGTATGTTTTAAACATGGAAAAAGTTGATAACCTCATTTCTGGCTGTGATACAGATCAAAGCTAATTTTGTCCCCATCCCATGTAAAAACAAAATGATACAGTAAGTTACAGAATGGGAGATTTTAGTTAGAAGCAATATCTACAGTTTATATGTAGTAAGCACGGATAGGCTGAGGAGTTATTGCTTGATGGGTTAAAGGGCAGAAATATAAGTAGGAAGTAATCCAAATGAAAGTCTTTCACGTTTTTGCCTATTGAATCTCAGTTACTTGATTTATGAACAGGGTGGGCTACATATGTCTTCCAGAAGACATGTGACCCTTGAGTTTCCTTATTGCACTTTCTATAATTTACAGAGATTGGACCATTTCATTTGATGGCAAACTGCTAATTCGCAAATATACATTTTCTGTCTCTTCTCAAAAGGATTTAGTTAATGTATTTAAGCCTTTAATTAAGCTTAATTAAAAATTAAACCTAAAAAAAAAGAGACCCGGCCACTGTTACATCAAATATGCAACATGCATTTTGCATGAAAGTTGGAGCTGAGAAAATGGTTTCCCCACCCCTCCCCAGAATCTGCTGACTATGGCAAGTATTTCACATTAGTTCAAATCAAGCAAGAATACCCAATTTATTCAGTCCTGCGAAAGTCAATTACATTCATACATACATACCCATCATGCAGTTCCTTTGTTTGAATAAGCAACTTAATCCAAAACACAGGGAAGGAATAATAAATAGTAAGCAAAGGGAATGAAAGGCATGAAAGAAGGAAAAGGATAAGTGGTAAACTTCAATCCAATATATACGATCATGAATTCCCCCTCTCCATATTTTCTTATCTTTGTAACTCATCCCATCCTCGATTTCATGCTGTACTTCGAAACATTGCCTTTTATTTTTCAAGGTTCTCTCATTTTGAAGATCTCACCAACTCCATCCAGACATGATTCTGTTTCTCCTTCCACTCAACCCATACATTCTTCCTTCATGTATTTGTTTTGCAATTCAGTTTCTCATTCATTCTTACTGTGTGGCCAAGCCATATCAACACACTCCTTTCATACTGATTTGTGTTCAGTCTACATTCATTCTTCAGCCATTCATTCTTGACCCTATCTCTTTTTGTTTTATCCCACACCCTTCTTAAGTACCCCATTCCTGCTGCATTCAGTTTTTATGCTTCTCCTGGTATTTCTAGCTGTCATGCTCATATACCCAGCCAGTTTTGCTTCTACTGAGAAACAGGAATTCCTCACAGCGAGGCCGTATATCACCTACTCACTTTCTGCCAGCATTTGACTGTCTTTAAATTTCTCCATCCATTTTCCTACCCATAGTAAACGTTCTGTGAACCCATCAGATCTGTTTGGTTCATTTTATCTCAGAGACACTTTCTCTTTTCTCAAGAGTGGAGAACTTCTGCAAGGACGACATTTTGCTGAGATTAAAATGTTAATGGCAATACAGGTAGTCCTCGACTTATGGCCACAATGGAGCCCAAAGGTTCTGTTAAGTGGAACAATTGTTAAGTGAATTTTGCCAACATTATGACCTTTCTTCTTAAGAAAGTTGTTAAGTGTATCACTGCGGTGGTTGAGTTAGTATTTATTTATTTTATTATTTATTAGTTCGATTTATATGCCGCCCTTCTCCGGAGACTGAGGGCGGCTTACAATGCATTAAGCAATAGCCTTCATACTTTTGTATATACCTGCTTAGTAGGGCTTTCGGCCCCCCCTAAGCGGTGTTCTTTTTTATACAAAGTCAGCTTATTGCCCCTACAATCCGGGTCCTCATTTTACCTACCTCGAAAGGATGGAAGGCTGAGTCAACCTTGAGCCTGGTTAGATTTGAACTTGCAGTAATTGCAGGCAGCTGGCAACTAAGTGCTACTTTAACAGCACTTAGTCCACTGCGCCACCAAGGCTCTTATAACATGGTTGTTAAATGAATCTGGCTTTCCCTTTGACTTTGTCAGAAGTTTGCAAAAGGGGATCACATGACCCCGGGACATTCCAACGGTCGTAAATATGAGTCCTTTTCCTAGCATCTGAATTTTGATGAAGTGACCATGGGGATGCTGCAACGGTTGTAAGTGTGAAAAATGGTCATAAGTTAACTTTTTCCAATGCTACTGTAACTTTGAACAGTCACTAAATGAACTGTCATAGGTCGAGGACTACCTGTACTATCATACTGAACACATATATCGGTCTTTAAAATGCAATTCTACGCTATTTTAGTAGGGTTTAGGTACCGGTATAATATGACTCATTTTGAATAAATATTATCAAGTTGCCCAAAATTGTGTTTATTTTTTTAATTAAAAAAACCTGTAGTTTAAAATTCTCTCTGATTTTTTGTTTTGTTTTGTTTGCCAAATCTTTGTGATATCTCCCTGTTGAGCTGAAGGAGATCTGTCTTTTAAAACTATCCTTCTTGGCCATTCCTTGTATCTTATCCTTCAGATAACTTTGTAAAAGATGCCTCTTTGCCCTTCATCCATTCCTGGTTTCTAGGGTGATGTTTGCTATGTCCACTACATAAGCAGCTCTTCTCAGAACAGCCCTGAAATGGCAGTTACTACCACATATAAACTAGTAGAAAATGCTGCTGTGTGTGCTATGGTTCATTTCCTTCCTATTATGTTGCATTGTTTACGGAGTAGTTTCTTGCATTGCCCAATCTTTTGTCTGCTAATGTAACGAAAGACCCCCATTGTCATGCACAAGAGGGCAGAGTTAAGGTTGCTGTGGAAACCTTAACTTTGAGTTCCTTGACTGGTGGACACAGAAAGAAAGAAAGAAAGAAAGAAAGAAAGAAAGAAAGAAAGAAAGAACACCCTGAGCAAATCAGGGCTATTGGATTTTTAGCTTCCTTCCCCACTCTTTTAATCTAGTCCTCCCATCCCGCTTAGTAAGGGAATGAAACATTACTGCAGTTAAAAGCATAGGGAGGACTTCTTGGGCAGGGAAACAGCAGCTGACCCTTTAAATGTGTGGCAAAGAGAATCCATTTTGTGTTGTCCCATCCTGTCTGTTTGACCAGACCCATTGCTACCTCGGGTTATGATAATTGACAGTGCTATTTCTTGTAAGTTGTAGGAGCACAAATATTATTACGATTAATAATAATGACGGACATGATGGGGAAATTAAATCTAAGTCTTGCTTGCTTGTGAAAAATGTATATTTTTCACCGATCAGGCTCTGATTAGGAAAGGCACCAAGCACAAGCTACGTATAGGAGCTGGTCACAGTTGTCATAGTGAAGGAATGTGGTGTAGGCCCTGGGTGAAACCCTGGTTTATTGTGAAGGGCTTGGATGGAGCGACAGCATGAGCCAAACTTGATTTGCATATTTCTCCTTCATATAATGAGCATATTTCCATGTTATTCACTTGGGGGGGGGGAGTGATAATAAGTCAAAAGGCACTAGATGGACATTTCTTATGATGAAATAAACTGAAATTACTCATTCCAAAGAAAATGCAAGAGTACTGATGAAAATTGAACACTGAAATCTATATCAAAACATTTTAGAGACCCTAGAACAAATATTTATGAGTGTAGAAATTGTTCAGTATTCAAATTCATTTTCGGTAATAGAATCATTTATTTATTTATTTATTTATTTATTTATTTATTTATTTATTTATTTATTTATTTATTTATTTATTTATTTATTTATTATATTTCTATACCATCTTTCTCCCATAGGACTCAAGGCGGTGTACAGTCAAGAAAAATATAGATACACAAACATCATAAAATTGCTAATTAAAATTATTATTATAACATAGTTTGACCCAATTAAATAGAACCTAAAATTAGATAACATTTTAAAAACATTCACATGTTCATATGTTTAGCCCCGCCTGTTGGAACATCAGGGTTTTGAGGGCACAGCGGAACGCATGGAGATCAGGGATATTTCGTATCTCAGGGGGCAGTTCATTCCAAAGGGTTGGAGCCCTCACAGAGAAGGCCCTCCCCCTGGGAGTCGCCAGTCGGCATAATTTGACTGACAGTACCCTGAGTAGTCCCTCCCTGTGAGAACGAACTGGTCTGTGGGAGGCTATTGGTGGCAAAAGAAGTTTAGAAGGGATGTTAGAGGTCATCCAGTCCAGTTGCCTACTCAGTGAACGATCCAATCCAGCATTTCCAACACCCCGTCTAGCCTCTACCTGAAGCCATGCAAATGAACTCACCACCTCATGTAGCAGCCCTTTGGGCTTACAACCAGAGGTGAAATCCAGCAGGTTCTGACAGGTTCTGGAGAACCGGTAGCGGAAATTTTGAGTAGTTTGGAGAACAGCAAATGTGACCTCTGGCTGGCCTCAGAGTGGGGTAGAAATGGAGATTTTGCAATATCCTTCTCCCAGGATGGGGAGGGAATAGTGATTTTGCAGTATCCTTTCCCTGGAGTGGGGAGGGAATGGAGATTATGCAGTATCCTTCTCCTGCCACATCCACCAAGCCACACCCACCAAGCCACACCACGCCCACAGAACCGGTAGTAACAAAATTTGGATTTCACCACTGTTTACAACTAATATAGTCAAAGATGTTCCTATTGTCCAAATTTGGCAATAAGATTGCTAAATATCAAGATATCAACTGAAATGAAATGTGGTATATTTGGTATATTTAATGGCACAACCAAGTTAGTTGAAGAGTTAGTAGGTCCATGTGCACATTGACCTTCCATATATTTTTGTGACATGATCTGTTTTTTATGAATCTAGCCTATATTTCTAGTTTATGCAAACTAGATATATAACTTGTGTCATTATGTGAATCCAAAATGTAGAGTAGCCCAATAGCCAGGTTTTACTGAATGTTTCCCGGGGCAGCTTTCAGAAAGCAGCTTTCCTCCCATTCCTTCTGCTCAGTTTCCTAAAAAGAAGGAAGTTCTCCTCCCAACCCCCAGAGTCAGCAGACATTAGTGCTATCTGCATTTTTACACCCTGAGGCTAATCTCATGAGATGCTAATTCTTGCAAAAGAAGAATTAACCAAGTGAGGGAGAAGCAGTCCCTGGATTAAGTAGTTGGTGCCTTCTTCATAATGTCTTCTAAGGAAGGGGTCTCCAACCTTGGCAACTTTACGACTTGTGGACTTCAACTCCCAGAATTCTGGGAGTTGAAGTCTACAAGTCGTAAAGTTGCCAAGGTTGGAGACCCCTGTTCTAAGGCTTCCCAGGTGAAGGGCAGAAATGCTGGATCTGGGATACCCATCAGAGGTGGACTTCCTGCTGATCTGGTACCAGTAGGATCCTCAGCATTTCAGCTGCTGCAGCATGGCCTATGAATCTGGGCAGTTGTTTCTTCTGGGGTTCCACTTTTAATTGCACAATTCTCAGTTTTAGCACATCTTGTTTGCTAAACTTTGCCCTGAACATGCTGTCTTCTCTCTTCTCTATAATTGTAATAAGAATATGATTGTTAGCAGTAATAACAAATCAGCATCCCAGTTTATTTGTTTGCAAAACAATCATCTTTTCTTTGGATTCTCATGTTCTTCTTTGGATCCGAGATACGGTTATGGCAACTGATCCACATGGAAAGGATTCCTTCCCATGTTCAGCATGAGAGCGTTTACGATCCTTGAAGACAGCTACTATACATTACTGTAACCCTCTCCAGATTAAGCACAGCCCAAGGTTTCCAATCTTTCCTTACAATCTTTTCTTACCAGGCCAGTGCTCTTCATGGGTGTGCTCCTTTGGACAAAGTCCAGTGCCCAGAACTAGACACAATGTTCTAGATACTGTACATTCTAGAATAAGAAATGGAATGGAACAATGATTTCTCATGATCTTGACCTTGTATTTAACACTGACATATTGTTGGCTCATATTCAACTTGTGCTCCATCAAAATACCTTTCTCAAAAACCACGTTGCTCAGCTCTGTGCCCTACATCCCATAATCATGCTTTTCCTACTTAGATGAAGGAACTTTTCTGCCCATTATTCCAGCTTGTCAAGAACTTCCTGAATCTTGAGGTTATTCCCATCTATCTTATTCCACTTTAACAAATTTAATCCTGTCCTGTTTATCATTTTCAAGATCATATTTTCTCTCCCCACATGAAAGTCATTAATAAATAAACTGAACAGCACAGAGCCTAGGTAGTGTTAAGCTGACACAATGGATACCACTGAGTGCTTTGAAAATCTAATTCTTGTACACAGAGCTACCTTCAAAATGCCTCAGAAGAGAATATTAAGGACTGTATGGTAGCTCAGTGGCTAAGACGCTGAGCTTGTTGATTGAAAGGTCGGCAGTTCAGCGGTTCAAATCCCTAGTGCCATGTAACAGGGTGAGCTCTCGTTACTTCTCTCAGCTTCTGCCAACCTAGCAGTTCGAAAGCATGTAAAAAATGCAAGTAGAAAAATTGGGACCACCTTTGGTGGAAAGGTATCAGCGTTCGTGCACCTTTGGTGTTTAGTCATGCCAGCTACATGACCACGGAGACGTCTTCGGACAGCGCTGGCTCTTAGACTTTGAAACGGAGATGAGCACCACCCCCCCTAGAGTCGGGAACGACTAGCACATATGTGCGAGGGGAACTTTTATCTTTACCTTACATCAGTGGTGGGTTTCAAAATTTTTTACTACTGGTCCTGTGGGCGTTGCTTGGTGGGCGTGGCATGGCTTGGTGGGCATGGCTTGGTGGGCGTGGAAGGGAAAGGATACTGTAAAATCTCTATTCCCACCCCACACCAGGGGAAGTTTATTGCAAAATCCCCATTTCCTCCCAATCACCTGGGACTTGGGAGGCAGAGAATAGATGGGGGCAGGGCCAGTCAGAGGTGGTATTTACCGGTTCTCTGAACTATTCAAAATTTCCGCTACCGGTTCTCCAGAACTGGTCAGGACCTGCTGAAACCCACCTCTGCCTTATATACCTTCCCAGTTTTTTTTTCTTTTAATTAATAAGGATCACAATAGCTGCAGCACTAGTTAATGCTTGAATGAGAGATTACCAGGAAATACCAGAGCTATAAACTGCACTGGGAAGTAAAAAAAAGTCATATCCCCTTTTTGCATTTTTGCACCTGTTTTGTGGCTAGTTCGGTTTTGGTTTATCATATTCTGGTTCTTGGCCATGGTTTATGGATCATAACAAATCTAGTAATTGTGATTAATTCACTAAAAAAAGTTAAGTAACCTGAAATAGCGGGATGAATGAATTTATTATTCAGACCAAATAGGCATAGGACTGAATCCTAGCCGTAACACCTGAAGCAAACATACTAAATGTCCACTGGAACTTATGGCAGGGAAGGAAAAGAGCAGTTAAGAAATATAAAAACATAAACAAAGACTAAAGAATACACATGCTTAGTAATTCTGGGTAAGAGAACTAAAAGAGTTATATTGAGAAATGGAAATTTGTTATTACTCCAAACTTCAAGGAATGGTTGTTGAAGAGGTGTCATTTATTTCTTTGGAAAATTATTTTCAGATCATTTATTTGATTATTTTCTACCATCAAAAGATGCAGCTGTATGTGCTACTATGGCAAAGCCAGAGATGTAATATTTTACAATAATATTTTCTATTGAACATATTATGTAACATATTCGTTAGTAAATCAATGACTATTGATAAGTATAATATTTAAGAGATTATTTTTCTTCATTTTACTTTTCCTTATTAGTATATATTTTAATTTGTTTGCGGTTGTCTTTATTTGTTTCTTCTAGGCTTGAAGTTTATTGTGTCTGCATAAATTTTTTCTTTTTTTTTTCTTTTTAAAGTGATTGTGCAAGAAACTGATCTTCGGAGTATCTAAAAGGTTACTTGCAGGGGTGAAATTCACTTACCTTCCCTACCGGTTCACATATGTGTGAATGTTGTCTGCGCATGCGCAGTGGCTGAAAATCATTGCAAAAAAGGGACGTCATGATGTCTGCGCGGGTGGGCGGGGCTTTGCGTAGTCGGCCCTACCGTATCATACAATCCAGTAGGAACCGGCTGAATTTCACCCCTGGTTACTTGATCTTGAGCTTGTGTCCAAGAACAAGAGATTTTGTGATGATTCTTCAAGTCAGAAGTCAAGCTTCTTGTGCGCATTGTTAAACTGCCACTATGCCTTTCTTTCTCCCTCTCCAGTTTACTGAGGAATCTAACACTAGTAACAGATACTCCAGAGGAGACCTACCAAACTCAAGCTATCATCCGGCAGAAATTTGAAAATATCATTAACACCGCTTCTGGCCTTATTAATTATGCACCTGTGTTTAAATCCTATTTGTATCAAGCGCTGATGGAGCTCTATGAAGATAATGTGCAGTATGTTGAAATCAGAGTTATCCTGCCACCGGTAATATATACATATCTCCTTCTCCTTCTTCTCCTCCTCTTCCCCCGCCTCTTCTACATCTCCTGCTTTTCTTCCTGTCCCCCTTTCCTTCTCCTCTTCCTTCCTCTTTCCCTTTCCCTCCCCTATCCCCTTCCCCTTCCTCCTCCTCCTTTGATCTTTGGGAGGGGGTGGGGAGAGAGAGAGGGAGGGAGGGAGGGAGGGAGGGAGGGAGGGAGGGAGGGAAGGAGGAATGTTACATCACATATGTGACTTCTACCACCCTTCTTGGAGAAGGGGAAATCTATTTTTATATCATGTACAATGAATCCTATCTAGTGCTTTTATTTCCAGGTGGCAGTAGATAACAGGTTTTGTCCTATACTGGGACTCATTGGACGTATATAACCAGATCTTATTCTGTGGTTTGAATAAGAATAAGAGTCACCAGTAGCTACATACATCCAGAGAGTCCAGATTTACCATGAAATTAGTCGTATACTGCCTCCTGGTGATCTATGTTAGCAAATGGTTACGTATGGTATATATGGTTTTCCTATAAGAGCTTTTTTCACATGGTTTAAACTTTTGTTCTTGTTTTGCCCACAGATATATGAGCTGGATGGAACTGTTCATGATAAATTTTGGGCTGTGGCAGCTTTTGAAGAAGTGACTAAGAGATTTGTAAAAAGTCATCCTGATTTTGTGGGTGTAAAACTTATATATACGACCCTCCGGTAAGGGATGTCTAGGTAGCTTTGCACCTGGGGCAGGTCCATACATTTGAATTTAAGTAACTAATATTAACGAGCAAGGTGGAAGAGCACAATTATACTGGCACTGAAAGGCCTGAAGGACCAGGCTGGGATTAGATCTTTTTGGAAAAAAACATCTGTGTGGCTGACTCCAACTTGATGGCACATAATCAATCAATCAATCTTAATTTTTTAAAAATTAAACTACCTTTGGGTAATGACTAAAAATCCCATCATACTCTTTATAGCTATCCAATGGGTATCTAGAGAAATGTTTCTTCCTGATGCCCACTAGGACTGTGAATCCATAAATCCTGAATTACAGACCAACACCCACATCATTGTAGCCAGTGACAAGAGAAATGGGCAACATTAGGGGTATCACAGCTTCCCTGTCGTATCATAGCTCTTTTCTGGATGAATTGTTAAGGCCTACCAGTCTCCTGCCTTCCTTTCCTCCAACTTACTTCTTATTTCCTTAGAATAGAAACCAGATCAATGGATACGAAAGAGCTAAGTGTGATAGAATTTGTGGGTTTGTTGGAGAGTGTTAAAGCAGGGATGAAATTCAGCAGGTTCTGACAGGTTCTGGAGAACCAGTAGCGGAAATTTTGAGTAGTTCAGAGAACCGGTAGTGGAAATTTTGAGTAGTTCTGAGAACCGGCAAATGCCACCTCTGGCTGGCCCCAGAGTGGGGTGGGAATGGGGATTTTGCAATATCCTTCCCCTGCCATGCCCACCAAGCCATGCCCACCAAGCCACACCCACAGAACCGGTAGTAAAAATTTTTGAATTTCACCACTGTGTTAAAGGGAAGGAGCTTGAAAGCGCATGGGCATCAGACTAAGATAGAATTAAACCTTACCACCTAGGAGGTTGGGGTGTAGCGAGTCCTGAATATTCAGAAGGGTGAACCTAAAATATGTTATAATGGAAGTGAGGAATAACTTGGCTTATTCCAAGCCAATCCTAATTGAGTTTGGCATCACAATGAGCATGTAGAAGAATTTCCGGTGTAAAGTATGTGTTTGATACTATGAAAAGAATCCCTTTTGGCATGTTTCTCCAATTCGGTATCCTCAAAGTTATTTGTGAGATTTATAGTCTAACACAGGGGTGTTAAACTCGATTTCATTGAGGGCCACATCAGGGTGGTGTTTGACCTCGGGGGCGAGGGTGGTCATGGTCAGCTCAACGTCACTTGTGTCTGGGGCACCTGTGGAGGCCCGACTGCTCTGCCACCAAAAAAGGGCTCCTGAGCTTCGTTTTCGGCCACGACGGCTTCTTCCAGCCCTCTGCCAGCAAAAACAGAGCTTGAGGTAGGGGTAGCGTTTTTGCTGACAGAGGCATCGCAGGCCGGTCCTTTGCTGTTTCCAGGGCGGCCCTGCAGGCCACGTCTAAGATTCCCCTGACCTAACACAGGGCAGGGGCACCAACATTGATTGACAAGGCTGATGTGAGTTTAGTATTTTGTTCCAAACTTTTCATTGTAAAGGGAGCCTAATTAAATATACAGTCACATCTTAGGTTGTAAGGGAGCTAATTCCTGTCTGAGGAATTCTGGAAGTTGAAGTCTACAAGTCTTAAAGTTGCCAGGTTTGGAGACCCCTTAAGTTAGACCACTCCTGGGGTGAACGCATTAGTATACAAGTATTGCCTGCAGATGGGATTATCTCTGAGTATATGCCCTATAGACCAGAGGTCTTCAAACTTGGCAGCTTTAAGACTTGTGGACTTCAACTCCCAGAATTCCTCAGCCAGCAAATTTTGTAAGGTCTAGTGCATAGCTGGCTGGAGAATTCTGGGAGTTGAAGTCCACAAGTCTTAAAGCTGCCAAGTTTGAAGACCTCTGTTATAGACGTAACTAAATAAATAAAAAGCCCTTGTCTCATGACTTTTTTCTCCCTGTTGTCGGTGAACTGGTTAGGTATTTATTCTGTTTTTCAGGCATCATATGTGTTTAGCCCAATATTTGCTCAGCATTTTTTAATCAAAGCAATAGTATCTGCAACCATTTTCCCCCCTGATATTTTCTCCTGCTTTTGCCTTGCAGAAAGCAAAAACTTGCCCAGATCAAAGAAGCCATTCTTACAGCCATGGACCTCAGAGCTAAGTTCCCAAGTACTATAGCAGGGTTTGATCTGGTAATTCCTGATATTCCTCGTGGGTTTTACATTTTACTTCAGAAGGACTGCAAGAGGATGAAATAATGGGGAGCTAAAGTATTTAAGTGGCATCACACGACTACCTTAGCCCTGCACTGAAGCCCAGACCAGAAGCTCAATCAGGAAATCCACTTTTTCTTTATTGTTAGATTACATTAACAGAACCTTGCAAGACTGAAAGTGTTTCTCCCATTCTTCCATTTTAAATGTAATCCTTGATTTACAACCACTTGTTTAGTGACTATTTGAAGTTACAACCGCACTGACCCATTTTTTACACTTACGGCCTTTGCAGCCTCTCTGTGGTCACGTGATCAAAATTCAGGTGCTTGGCAACTGGCATGTATTTATGACAGTTGCACTATCCCAGGGTCATGTAATCACAATTCATGACCTTCCCAGCTGGCTTCCAACAGGCAAAATCAATGAGGGCAGCCAGATTCACTTTTTTTTTTTTTTTTAATTTATATGCCGCCCTTCTCCAGAGACTCAGGGCGGCTTACAATACATTAAGCAATAGCCTTCATACTTTTGTATATTTTATACAAAGTCAGCTTATTGCCCCCACAAACCGGGTCCTCATTTTACCTACCTTAGAAAGGATGGAAGGCTAAATCAACCTTGAGCCTGGTGAGAATTGAACTCGCAGGAATTGCAGCAGCAAAGCTGGCTGAGGAACTCTGGGGGTTGAAGTCCACAAGTCTTAAAGTTGCCAAGGTTGGAGACCCCTGCTCTGGAAAACCAGGGAGGATCCCTAATTTCCAGTGCCAATTGTTTGCAGCTGATGCCATAGTACAGGTAGTCCTTGATTTACAACAGTTCATTTAGTGACCATTCGAAGTTACAACAGCACTGAAAAAAAGTGACTTATGACTGTTTTTCACACAACTGTTGCAGCATCCCCGTGATTTACATTTGGATGCTTGACAACATATTTATGACGGTTTGCAGCATCCCAAGGTCATGTGATCATCTTTTCTGACATGCAAAGTCAATGTGGAACCCAGATCCACTTAACAACCATATTTAACAACTGCAGTGATTCACTTAACAAATGTATTTATTTATTTATTTATGTAATTTATATGCCGCCCTTCTCCCAAAGGACACAGGGCGGCTTACAAGAAGAAACAAAAAAAATACATAAACATCAAAGTCAATTTAAAATTAGTTAAAATTAATTAAAAATTTAATTAAAATTATTAAAAATCACCCCTACGGATTCAGCCCATTTGGTGAAAAAGCCACGTCTTCAATTCGCGGCGGAAGCAGAGGAGGTCAGGGGCTGTCCTGAGGCCGGTAAGCAGCCCATTCCAGAGGGTCGGCGCTCCCACAGAGAACGCTCTCCCCCTGGGGGCCGACAGCCGACACTGAGGAGGCCCGCTCTGTGTCAGCACACCGGACAATGGGAGGATGGCAGGACATGATCCTGCAGGTACCCCGGGCCTAAGCCATGTAGGGCTTTATAGGTGAGCACCAGCACCTTGAAATGAACCCGAAGAACCACCGGTAGCCAGTGCAGCTCACGCAGGAGAGGTGTCACACAGGAGTACCGAGAAGCCCCCGTAACAACCCGTGTGGCCGCATTCTGGACTAACTGTAGCCTTTGAGTGCATCCCAAGGGCAGCCCCATGTAGAGGGCATTACAGTAGTCCAACTGAGACGTAACCAGGTGTGAGTGACCGTGGCAAGGCCATCCCGATCTAGGAAAGAGCGCAACTGGCACACCAGGTGTACCTGTGCGAAGGCCCCCCTGGTCACGGCCGTCAAATGATCTTCTAAAGATAGCCGTGAATGTGGCAAGAAAAGTTGTAGAATGGGGCAAAGCTCACTTGACACATTTCTCACTTAGCAACATAAATTCTGGGCTCGTTTGTGATCATAATAACAATAGCACTTAGACCTATATATACCACTTAACAGTGCTTGACAGCCCTCTCTAAATGGTTCACAGAGTCAGCCTGTTGCCCCCAACAATCATTTTACCTACCTCAGAAGGATGGAAGGTTGAGTCAACCATGAGCCAGTGAGGATCGAACTGCCAAATTGCTGGCAGTCAGCAGGAGTAGTCTGCAGGACTGTATTCTAACGAGTGGGCCACCACTGCTCATTATAAGTCTGTATTAATAGAGTAGATCTGTTTGTTTTTTTAATGATAGTTATTGATACATTAATAATATCCAAGTACTGAATGCTGATCCAGAGCAATGCTCTTTTCAGGTCGGTTGGGAAGATGCTGGAAAGTCTCTCTCGGAGCTGAAAGAAGCTTTAAATTTGCCAAAAACTAAAGGAATTAAGTTGCCATATTTCTTTCATGCTGGTGAGACAGGTAAGCACAAATACATCACAGTGTACCTTTGAAGTGCAATAAATAACTAGGAAATGAATTTTGCAAACTTCTTTGTAATTACCTCTGAAGCAGGGGTGAAATCCAGCAGGTTCTGACAGATTCTGGAGAACCGGTAGCGGAAATTTTGAGTAGTTCAGAGAACCGGCAAATACCACCTCTGGCTGGTCCCAGAGTGGGGTGGGAATGGAGATTTTTCAATATCCTTCTCCCAGGATGGGGAGGGAATGGGGATTTTGCAGTATCCTTCCCCTGGAGCAGGGTGGGAATGGAGATTTTGCAGTATCCTTTCCCTACCATGCCCACCAAGCCACGCCCACAGAACCGGTAGGGAAAATTTTTGAATTTCACCCCTGCTCTGAGGTGAATCTTTTGAACACAGCAGAAGGCAATTTTAAGTAAATATACATCAATATATGACACTGGTCCAAACCTGTGGTCCATGGATACCTGGGGGGGGGCAAGATGTTGTCACAAGGGGTCCGTGAAGGTTTGAAGAAATGTTATGATTTAAATCTTGGGAATCCAGGGCCATGGTCCATGGCCACAAAAGATATTTAAAAGGGGTCCATGGTGAACTCATCAATGCTAAGGATCAGATTGTTGTTCCCACAAATTTTTGCACACTTTGCTCTCCAAAATACAGAAGGATATAAGAAAGCCAGGGTCACAAAGAAGACAGGACAAGTATAGGGATCTTAAAAGGTTTATCTTGGAAAATTAAAAATGGAGATTGAGGAACATCCTGGATGTTAGGATTAAAAATTAGATCTGATGGCAGAAAACTATAGGGAAAACATGGGGTTAACCCTAGTTGGCAACCTTACTTAGCAGACTATATATGTGCAATTAGCCCATTACAGCAGTCCTCAATTTATGACCTTAACCCAGCCTGGAATTTTCAGAGTAAGTCATGATGGTCATAAATTGAGACTTGACTTGAATTTATGCCTTTTTTTAGTCATTAAGCAAATGCTTAATGTTTGGTAACTTGGAGCATATGACTTCAGTTGAGTTTCATGAGGAGTCTTACTCCAAGGATAAAATAGGTATATGATACCATTGTGATTTAGTTTGAGTCCTTGAGACGCTAAAAAAACGTGAGAATTCTTCATGCTCTTTTGCAGAGGATGCCACAAGGCTTTTCCACATTGCGTTAGCATTTCTTCTTTCAGAATAAAATTTTGAGAGAGTTCTACCATGATGGCCATCCTTTTGTAAAGTTATATAACAACTCTTCCCCCCCCCCTTTATTACTCAGACTGGGAAGGCACTTCGATAGACCAAAATTTGTTCGATGCTGTGCTAATGAACACCAACCGGATTGGTCACGGATTTGCCCTTGCCAAGCACTCGGAAGCTAGGAGGTGGGCAGTGAAGGAGAATATTGCTATAGAAGTCTGTCCTATTTCTAATCAGGTATTGTTCAAGAAAAAGAGTGTTGAGCTTTGCTCTAGAATATTCTGGGATAGGAAGAAATGGGGAGATTACTTCATGTGTTCTTTCCAATCCTTTGACAGATCTCATAGGTTTCCATAGAAAATGAAAAATACTAGGTTTTATTCGGAAATATTCCTGTCAGCCCAGAAAAAAAGGAAAGATAAAAGATGGAGATTGAGGAACATTCTAGATGTTAGGATTAAGTTACTTAGCAGACAATCCATGTGCAAATAGATCGATTCAGGCAGTCCTCGACTTAGGACCTTAATGGAGCCTCGGAATTTTCTTTTTTTTTTCTTTTTTCTTTTTTAAATTTGATTTTTATTATAACATATAGTGATACATTCGGTACATTTTCGGTTCATTGGTGCAATTATATACATATATACATCTACATGCATTATTACTTGTCTTTTATTTGATATTGTTTCTTAAAGCTAGATTTAATTTCAAAACACTTAAAGCTAATAGTGCTCAAATCTCTAAGACTAAATGTAATACTATTCATATGATTTTGTTAATTAATTAATATTTAATCTCTATTTCCTTCTTTATTTCTTTATTTATGGAGCCTCGGAATTTTCATTGTTAAGTCATGATGGCCATAAGCAGGGGTGAAATCTAGTTACCTTCCTTACTGGTTCGGAAGTGCACGCGCGGACCTTCTGCACATGCGCAAAACCACCTGCCAGGAAGTAATGACACCCGGGCGGGTGGGTGTAGCTTTGCTCCGCCATAGCTACCAGATCGCCGAACCAACCGTGACGATCACTACTGGATCGCCCGACCTGGTCTGAACCAGGAGCATTTCACCCCTGGCTATAAATCAAGGCATCTGTGTGACCAGACCCAAATTTGTGACTTTTTTTGTGCCAGTCATTAAACCAGAATAAAAGAATATAAAGAATAAAAGGCCAGAAACCAGCAAAAATGTTGTAAATAGTGGTCACATGACTGCAGGAACACTAGACGAGCTGGTTGCCAAGCACCTGAAGTGCCAAGTCATGTGACCGCAAGGAGTTTGTGCAGTCACCTGAACTGGGTTGTAAGTAACCTTTGGGAGGATCCGTCATAACTTCAAACAGTTGCTAAGTGAGTACACCAACAAGGGTATTAACAGACACATGATTGTAGGCTAAAAGGAGCAGTTAACATTAATAAGGATATTGTATGCTTAGGTAGAAACATCTATATGGTGGAATATAGAAATGGGAAGAAAAAAAATGCTCGTCTTCCTATAACAAGGAGGCTAAAGATTAGAGCACCAGTTTTTCAATCGTGGAAGATCAGATTAGAGTTAGAAACAAAATACCACTTTTTCCGTGCTGTCTTTGTTCACAATGCTCCTAGCACTCAATGGGATAAAAGATGCAAAGAGTGGTGGAAGTCACTAGGGGCAGCTGGATTTGCTTAACAACCATATGATTCATTTAACAACTGCAGTGATTTGCCAAACCACCATGGCAAAAAAGGTCATAAAATTGGACGTGACTCACTTAACAATTGCCTTGCTTAGCAACAGAAATTCTGGTCCCAGTTGTCATAAATCAAGGACTACCTATAAAGGAAAGGACAACTGAGAAGAAGAGGGGGGAAAAAAGAATCTGAGAAAATAAAAAAGTCCAGAAGGTGTAAAATATCTATCCAAGAGATTGTAAGTTAAGATTCACTTACAGTTGATTCCTGAGTACTGGTTAAATTTCTGGAGAGATGTTTACTGCTCTCTTACTACTGAGAGCAGTAAACATCTCTCTTACTTCTGAATGTTCCCTTGTACCAATGGCCTCACAACCAAATGCAGGCTTCAATAAAATAACTCTTGGATAACGTCTTCTTCTTCTTTAAGGTCCTGAAGCTAGTATCAGATCTGAGAAACCATCCTGCTGCTTTTCTGTTGTCAGAAGGTCAACAGATAGTGGTTGCCTCTGATGATCCATCCATCTTTGGATCAAAGGGATTATCCTACGATTTCTACGAGATGTTTATGGGCATAGGAGGGTTGAGTGCCAATCTGAAAACTCTGAAGCAACTGATGCTAAACTCTTTCAGGTAAGTGCATGTCTTTTGTATGCTGACATTTATGGACAAAAAAACCAACCCCATCATCTATCTACAAAGATATATCCAAACAGGGCAATAAATAGGGACAACTTTTACAGCCAGCTGGACTTTTCATATATATCAGCACCCTAGTTTATATCAGCATTGAATTTAGAGTCAACAAAATTTGGATAGGAAGCCCAAATATGAAACTATACCTATCTTGCCATAATAGGGTGGGGGGGTTTTTTGCATTAAAAAAATGAAAATACACAGTTTGCTGGCCGAAAACATTTAGGTACTTAGGATGGAGCTAGATGGAGTCTTCTTCAAAACTTCAAACACTATAAAGAAACTCTACAGACACTACAAATTCTCCCCCCTTTTTTTGTTTATTGTGCCCATCACCATCACTGACCCTCCGAAGCCAATACTTAGGTAAAGATTTAGAATGAATGGGGCATTGCTTTCTGCTCCTCCTAGATTCTATTTACCTAAAGGTTGTGTGAATCCTCAACATGCCGACCTTTTGTCTTGAAGGCAAGGGATTTTTTTAACCTTTTGGGGCCTCCATCTGGCACTCATCTGTTCAGCAAAAACAATAGAATAGATGGACTCAGCAAGGGCATCTAAAGGATCTTGGATCAATTCCTGAAGCCTGCTGGACATTAGCCTCAAGCCCAGCATCAGAACAAATGTACGTGTCCTAAGATAATGTTGCAGGATCCAATCTGGGCCGGTTTCCAGGACCAGAGGTTTTGTTGTGACCCAGGCCCAAGTAAGTAGTAGGAAAATCAGTGAAAAAACAAACAAACTTTATTCGAACAGCTGAGAATTACTTCATTCCCAGCGTCGTTCAACTAAATTAAAGCAAATTCCTCCCAACACAAATTCCTCAGTCCTATCGCAAATCTTGGTCCAATTAGGCAAACTGCCAAAGGCCTTTCTTGGCAAACGTTCAGAAGTCACAGATACAAAAATAAATACAAGACATAGACGAAGAAGACGACGAAGCTACCAATGTTGTTTTCCGGCAAAGCCCAAATGCCACTGCTAGTCTGTTTTAAGCCTTGTGGGAGGGGCCAATCATCTCTTGGCCCTACTCCCGAGTTGTCCTCTTTGTCTGAGCTGCTCTTGCCTTCTGGCAGCTTTTCTCATGCGTGCATTAGGAACAGACTCCTCCTGTTCCTCTGCCTCACTCCTATCAGTCTCTGGAGGCTCTGGAGTCAGCACCTCACTCCCCGATGGCCCTGGCCCCATCTCTGCCTCTGACGCAGAGCCCTCATCCGGGCCTTCCCCAGCCTCCAGGACTAGCCCATGTTCTTCCTCCACCTTTGTCTGACTCCGCTGCCAGCTCCGCAGGCTGCTGGTGGACCACAACAAGTTTAATCTTCCAAGCTTTTAGACTTGTTCTGGAGCCCATCCTCAAGGCATGTTTCTCTAGCAGACACTAGACACTGCATTAGAGAGACATTCCATGAGGATGGGCTTCCAGCATGAGTCCAAAAGCTCACAAGACTAAACCCTTCGGTCCCGCTGACAGACCCAGCTTGGATCCTGCACCAGCATCAGAAATCTGATCCAGCCTTATAGACAGTAGTACAACAATGACTCAAACTTTTCATTCTTTTACTCTGAGCTTGAGGCTGGGGGCATAACAGCTACTATATTAAGAACTTTTGCTGCGTTATAATCCACACTCTTTAGTCAGGGACAAAATATTGGCATTCGTTGTACCATGATTTATCCCTGTCCTGCTTCTTTATCTTTTTTCCCCAGTTCTAAAAGACACCTCACTGTCCGTCCATCCCCCAAAAAAGAATTATGGGTAATGGATTCTAGCAGATTTGAGGGGAGAAATCTACTTTAAGTGGTACAGTTAAGGATAGCTTCAGCTTTCCTCATTCATATGAATGGGCAGAAAAAAGATGTTTTCACCATTAAGTGCAAATGAGAATTGGCTTTAATGTGCTTAATTGGAAAGCCTGCCGTATTCTGTTTATTCAGTATCTTCTATTTGAATACAAATGTGTTGAGTTTTAAGATTATGACTTTTGGGGCGGGGGTGGGGTGAGAGGCTGCCTGCATTTGGTTCTTCAAGGGTATCTTGCTATCTTTGAATCTTTTCCCTTCATAGATACAGTGGTATGAATCATAATGAGAAGAAAAAGGCCATGGCCATTTGGCAAAAAAGGTGGGACCAGTTCATAGCCAATTCTACAGCTTTGTTCAAGGAGGTTGCTGGGTAAAAAGCCACAGTACAGCTTCTGTACAAAATCTTGCTTCTCCCAGGTAATTTGATCAGATCATTGCTCATTTAACAATCTGGCAAAAAAATAATTGAAATCAGAATATACTCCATAAAGATGGAATTTATTGTACTGAGATTGAATAGAAGACGTGTTCTTTTCCCCACGAACAACAGAAAGTTCTCTAATTTTTAATTATATTGGTAAATGTTGTATAATTGTTGTGAGTAAACAGGAGGCCGGAGTATTAAGTACAGGTCGTCCTCAACTTATAACCATTCCTTTAGTGACCATTCAAAGTTACAACAGCCCTGAAAATTGTGGCTTAACAACCAGTCCTCATACAACCAACAGAATATCTCCACAGTCACATGATCATAACTTGGTTGCTTGGCATCCAGTATGTATTTACAGTGGTTGCAGCTGGTCCTGGGGCTCATGTGATCACTATTTGGGACTTTCCCAGGTGGCTACTGGCAAACAAAGTCAATGGGAAAAAGCAGGATCCGCTTAAAGACTGCATGAGTCACTTAACAACATGGCAATAAGGTTGTATAATTGGGCATGACTCGCTTCAAAACCACCATGCTTAACAACAGGCATTCTGGTCTCAATTGTGTCTGTAAGTCAAGGACTACAATACCTGTACAGTACTTTTACAATCTTGAATTGACCAATTATTTACCTTTTTAAAATTATGAAGGATAAAAATCTAATAATAATATTGATTTTTATTATATGAGCTCTATATTACTCAGAGTGGTTCATGGTGGGAACCACCCATAATCCCAGTAAAATGAATAAAAGAATGAAGGAATGATCAATCGCCTATAGATATTTAACACAGATTAATACACTTGGCTCTAATTGTAACAATTGCACCTTACTACTTTTGTTTATCAAACATGTATCATATGAACTATCAGAAGAGAAATGATTACCTGCATTTTGAGGCTAGAAAAAAATGCAGAAATACAATTAAATGCTTACACGTATGCTTCATTTTAAAAAAGCCAATGTTTAAAAAATATGCAGCCTAGTTTGACAGCATAGAAAAGGTAAGAACCTTGTTGACTTTCAGACGATCAGTGATGTTTGCAGTTTAATTTAGATATATCTGAATGATCACACATTTCTCCCAACAATTATACAGGTGTAATATTTATTGAATGTATCTATTTGACTTTATACGTAACCCAGCTGGTTTTCAAAAGTTTAATGGAGTGCAGTATAGTAATATTAGACATACTATTGTCTAACAGTATTTCTATCAGGACACAATACCATCAAGATAAAGAAAAACCTTGGTATATTGACCAAGTCAATGAATGAGAATAGTAGCTATTAGAAACTTAGAGTTGAATATGAACTATATTTGTTTTTTTTTTCCTTTAGCAGCAATACAATTTTTTTAAAAATATTTTCTTTATTGATTGCCAAATTCAGGATTTATATATGTTTGATGACTATGAGAAGACTTGATCTATAATTAATATCCTCTTCAATTCATCATTTGAATTCTGTTTAACTAATCAGATTTGATTTCACTATAAGTACATAAATAAAGCACACTTTTTTTCTGGAGGAAAAATATTGGTAAAATAGTAATAGCAGAATGTTAGAGGCATTATTTTTTGTATGTATCAGAGATCAATGCTATTCATGTGGTGTCTGTTTATACTTTATATTATATATATATATTAAATCTTCCTTTGTTAAAATGCTGATAATCAATTGTGAATACATTAATCATGTAATGGAGCATGTATGAATCTTACTCTAATAAATACTTCTACCATATACTGTGCTGAAATTAATTTTCTCCATGCAAGCAATAAAACTGGATTTTCAGAACAAACTGAATCATAAACTAATGCTGCTCTCTGGATTTGCATAAGATAAATGTATGCAAAAACCAGGAATTTACAATTTAGGTTAATTAATATGCTGTGCAAATCCATCCATTATATCTTGGAACAAAACGGGATCTTTGCTATTATAAACATTAAGCCATGATTTGTACAATGATGATTTATTAAACAGATCACCTTTGATTAGATTAATAGATCATTAATCAATAAACATGATTTCACCTACCCCAATGCTTAAGATTTTGCCAAGAATAGCCAAAAACCATGGTGGCATAGATAGAATAAAACCCCTCCAATGTTCTCTAAGATCAAGATTTTAGTACTAAAATCTTAGTACTAATTCAAATCATGTAATCTCGGCTGGATTACTGCAATGCCCTCTACATCTGGCTGCCCTTGGGATGCACCCGGAGGCTCCAACTGGTCCAGAATGTGGCCGCGTGGGTAGTTATGGGTGCTTTCCGTTACTCCCATATAACACCTTTGTTGCACGAGCTGCACTGGTTGCCGGTGGTCCTCCGGATCCGCTTCAAGGTGCTGGTGCTCACCTATAAAGCCCTTCATGGCATGGGCCCGGGGTACTTGCAGGACTACCTCCTACTGGCCTCCCTCCGCCCAGTGCGCTCACATAGGACTGCCCTCCTCCGGGTCCCATCGGCCAGACAGTGTTGGCTGGCGGCCCCCAGGATGAGGGCGTTCTCTGTGGTCACACCGACCCTCTGGAATGGTTTACTCACTGGGCTCCGGACGGCCCCCAACCTCCGCACCTTCCACGCCAATCTAAATTCCCTGATCTGCTGTGCATTTTAATTTGGGGGATTTGGGTTTTTTTAAATCTGATTTTAACATTTTAATTCTATTTATTGTTGGGTTGTTTTATTCTGTGAGCCTCCCCGAGTCCCTCGGGAGAAGGGCGGCATATAAATATGACAATAAATAAAATAAAATAAATAAATGTAATTACAAGTTTTTGCTTCTTTCATTTATTATTACAAAATTACACCTGTGAATCATGCTTCTGTTGGAAGAAATATCCATCTGGTTCGGTTCCAAGCTGGGAGAAAGACACTGGAAACATGGAGGCTGATTGGAAAGAGGGTTTATTGATGAAGCAGAACCACATGGGTTTATGGTTCTGGGCACCTGACAAAATGGAGTTGAGTGTGGGGGTTTTTTTTATACCTTCTTTTGGGCTTTGCACTTGAGCTTCCTGTTCCTGTGCAAGAACATATATTCTATTGGCTGTTGTCAGATTCCTATGGAGTCATGTACAAGTTATGTAGGGGTCATAGTTCTATAGGCAAAAGAGGAAATACAAAACCTAGGTGTTTGTCTGAGTTCCCAGGTTTGGTTGAAGTTTGGACTGCTCTGGGGGTGATCAGTGAAGCAGCTTGTGTTCTTAGGGTGTTGGGCAATTCCTTTTGTGGCTTAATAGCTTTCACCCTGCTTTGGATCTTACCATTCTGCCTTTGTTCAGACTTTGCTGCAGGGAGCTTCAAAATATCCTGTCTTGAATGGATTACCAAATCTGCATTTCTAAAAGCTGCCTCCTCAGTTTCTGTTTGGGGGTAGGGAGATTGGGGCTGTTTCTGAATAGTCTGGGTCAATCTTTTTTAATGGGCACAAAATATCTGCTGGGGCTATTAAGAAAGACTGAGTCTGCTTCCTGCCTCTAAAAAAAACATGTTTCTTCATTTCTCATTTAGGGAAATCTAATATTCTGCCTTTTTTTAAAATATTCCTCAAAATATTTCATTCTTCTAGGAGGGGTAGGCACTGACTTTCTACATTTCAATCTGAAAATTTAATGTGTCAGAATCAGAATACATTTTTGATGAGGCATCCCTGAAAACAACAATCCAGTATGCATCATAGTGATAACTGTGATGTGCAGTGATTATTACACGTATAATCCGCCTTTCAAAACATTGTTCATTACAACCAATCACAGTCTAGTATGCAAATAAGCTAGATAGGTCAGGAAAAAGGAACAACTATTTCATGTCTCAAGGTAGCATGGAAGAGAAAACTGAATTAGATCAAAAGGTAAGTTGGAATCATAGTTTCGCTATAAGTAAGGGAAGGACTTGGAATTGTAGGCAAAAAATGGCTGAAAATTAGAATGAGTCAATTAGATAAACCATAGTAAGATACTTTTCAGGATGCTTTTTAGATCTTATCAGCTTTTAGTCCCAACCTCCGTGCTGTTCTATGCCCCCCAATTTCCTTCAACTGCAACTGATGAAAATTGCAGATACAATTATTTCGTATTTTGATGGATGTTACAAAAGTCTTACATTATGGTCTAATAGTTCATAATCAATATATGCTCATGTTCCTTAGGACAAGAAATATTGATTATTAGTACTGCCAGATTTTTTCAAAACTTTATCTTGGATAAGGGAAAAACCATTTTGTTAAGAAAACCATTGGCTGATCTAATCTGCCAAACTAAACCTCCAACCTGCTAGCAGAATGTAAGCTTCCTGATTTATAGGTCCCCAGAATCATGAATATCTATGAGGATCCTCCAGTTTGTTATTGTGGATATTGACATCTTCTGCTGATTTACACCACAGTTGGTAAAAATGAGATCCCAGAACAGTTTGCTATTCCTGGAACGGCAAAGGTTGTTCAAAAACTGCCTTCAAGTTGTAGTCTTCAAATTGAGAGAAGATAAACAGTTGTACAGGTAATCCTCAATTTACGTCCATTATGTTCAGCGACTCTTTGAAGTTACAGAGATGCTGAACGAAGGGACTCATGATCAGTCCTCAAAGTTTTGGGCGTTGCAGTGCCTTCATGATCAAAATTTGGGCCCTTGGCAGCCCACCCTCACAATGGTGAGGCACTTCAACTCTCCCTACCCACTTATTTTCCCTGCCCCCTTGCACTCCATGGCTCCTGTTAACCTAGCTTACTTTCGTAGTCTTCTTGCTTCATTGCTGACCGAACATGCTGGCCTGGCCTTTGAGAGGCCGTTGCTGGCTGCATGAGTCTTTTTTCCTCAGGTGCACAGTGGTTTCCTTGTGAGACCTGAAGAAATGGCCTCACGTGGCCAGCAATTGTTTCACCAACAGCCAAGTTGGACCAGTCTTAGCAGCAGTGGGAGCAAGGACACAGCAAAGGTCAGTTGGGGTGGTGGCGTGTAAAGCAGTAGGGATCTCAAAAGTGAGGGGGGCTGGGGTGATTGGGGCTTCCTGTAATGTCAGCTTCACATGGCACTCCTGGGGGTTCGTTTCCAGGGCGGCTGGAGCTTCCTGGGGTGGCTGCTTGCTTTGTGTTGCTGGTCTAGGGCTGGGCTTCGCTCTGTGAAGGGCTTTGATGGGGCAGAGCTTTCTGCTGTGATGCAGCTCATGGGTTTGTTGGAGCCCTACAACAGCAACATGCAAGAAGTCCAAACAACAACGTGGCAAATAAATCCACAGACACAAGGTTCTGGGGCTGCTTGTCACCCCACAAGGCAGGATACAATGTGGCCAAAAGGGAGAGATGGAGGAGAGATAGGGTGGGTGGATGAGAGTTGGAGAGGAGGCAGTCCCTTACCCTGAGGCTTGGGCTTGTGAGGAACCAAGTCTGAAATGACTTAGAATGGGGTCGGTACTTGTTTAATGACCCACAATTGTTAGTTAATGATAGCAACGGGGAGTGGCACTGTTGGTAAGTAATGCAGTCACATGATATCACTTTACAACTGTCTTGTTAGCGACAAATTCTGGCCCCAGTTGTGGTCGTAAGTCAAGGATTACCTGTACACCAGGGGTGGGTACTACTTACCTTTACTACCAGTTCGCAACGGGATCGCACGCATGATCCCATTGACGACATCCGGGGCGATGGGCGGGGCTTTCCGCCAGTTTTACTACCAGTTCTTGCAAACCGGTCCGAACCGGGGGCAACCCACCACTGCTGTATACCTGAAGAGAGAAACGTCACAAACACTAAGAGTGGCCCCCAATCTGAAAAATAAAATATGAATCCCACTTTGCCTATATGTTCTTATAGATAGCAACAAAAACAAATAGCTACTCTTTCATTCTGCTTTATTGGGGAATCTACTCTGTAGATGTAAAAATAACAATTGTTTGAAATTACCTCCTGGCCCAGTGTGCCCTTTAGATTTTGGTACCGATATTTTGTGTTCTCTCCTAATCTTGTCTCCTCAAGATGCTTTAGTTTCGCACTTTCTTGCTCTTCCTGCCTCTTCAAGATGCTTTATTCCTAATTTTAGAGCCCAGCAGGGGGAATGGTTATATTGTCACAGGCCCTGCAGTGTTTAGCCGACCATATTGTGTTAACCCACTCTACCGCGAGAGTAGAGATCGCTTGACTGCATATCTCCTTGACTATGTTTTCAAAATTGATACCTTGCCTCACAGGGGCAGCTTATTTTGATAATAAATAAATGCAGTCTCCTTTCCCCAGTATTATAAGTAGGCTCTTCTGGGGCCTGATTTCAGGGTGAATATGATTTGTGTGAGCTCCTTCAAATGAAATCCTTCTGTAGGGAATGATGTCCCTTTGCTGAATGGCTCTGACCTCCATTACTAAGGAAATTGAACTCTATACTAGCATGTGAAGAAATGGGAATGAAATTGGTCTGACCCTGAAAGTACAAAAGGGTTTATTTATTCCCTGGAACATCAAAGAAATCCTTCCAGAATGATATTCTGAGATAACCCAAGGAGTGTTACCTCATGCCCTTTTCATTTTTAAAAAATATTGATATGATCCATAGACAGTAAATGCTTGAGGTACTATGTGCTGAACAGACTGGTTTTATAGGAAGGAAATATGCACCTGGAACTCTTATCTCAAAAATTAATTCATTAGATTTGTATAGTTTGAAGGCCTGGAATTATGGAAATATTGATAAAAGATTTCCTTTCCTGCTACTGCATTTAAACATTTGGCAAAAAAAGAAGGGGG